AATGTTGCCAAGGCAGAATGTCATTATCCAGAATTTCGTTTCCTTCTTCCTTGAGCCAATTAAATACAAAGTGCAGATTCAGATAATCTTCCAGCCAATGGCTGTATTATCATAGTATCTCCAAGTGTTAATTTCCAATCTATGTAGAGCTTCTCTAAGTCTGATTGTGCATTTCTTGGTCCTATCAGATTTCCGAAATGTTCCTGAGCTATTCCACATAATGCTGACAGCAGAGGAAGCTCCAATAATCGTGGATGGTGGGTGAGATGAAGTGTTTCTTGTATTAACCCTTTCTCGCCCTTTTCCCAGCCGCAGCAGAGCCCTGTACGCCTCCTTCGGTGGGCCCCATTGTAAAAAGGATGCTGCATAGCCCATGTGACACCGTGATAGCAGAACACAATGAACTGGGGATGAGCTATAATTTATCAGAATCAGCAGCTGTCATCGTGACAACTTGTCATCTCCGCACAGTCAAAGTATTGATTATTTATATAAATATAGTGCAGTGAGAAGTCTTCATACCTCTTCATTTTTCTTTCCATGGTTTATGTTGGAGCCTTCTGTTGCGATTGTTTAAATAGTTTTTGGTTGTTTGTGTTTTTTACATCAGTCTACACGCAATATCCCATAATGACAAAGCATTAACCAGATTTTTGAAAACTTAGTAAATGTATTAAAATGAAAATAAACAAATATATCACATTGACACAAACATTCAGTCCCTTTGCTATGACACTTGAAATGTAGCTGAGATGTATCCCGTTTTTCTGGATCATCGTTAAGATATTTCTACACGTTGATTGGAGTCTGCTTGAGGTCCAATTCAATTGATTGGACATGATTAGCAAAGGTACACATCTATCTATAATATATTATTATGTTATTATTTTTATAGCACCAACACATTCCGCAGCGCTTTACAATGGGTGGACAAACAGACATGTAGTTGTAACCAGACAAGTTGGACACACAGGAACAGAGGGGTTTGAGGGCCCTGCTCGATGAGCTTACATGCTAGAGGGAGTGGGGTAAAGTGACACAAAAAGGTAAGGATAGTATTAGACTAGTGACAGTTGCAGAAGAGGAATCATACGGGAGCTATTAACAGTTTAATTGATACGCTTTTATGAAGAAGTGGGTAAATTCATGTCAGATCAAACACAAAGCCATGAGAGCAAAAGAACTGCCTGCTCAGAGGAGGGATATTTTTTTGTGACACAGGTGTGGGGAAGGCTACAAAATAATTTGGTGACATTGAAGATTCCCAAGGACACAATGCCCTACATAATTCTTAAATGGAAGTAGCTTGGAACAACTAGGAGCTTTCTAAAGCTGGCCGACCGCCAAACTAAGCAATTGGGGAGAAGGGCCTTGAAAAGAGAGAAGATCGTGAACCTGATGGTCATCCTTGGTTGAGCTCCAGAGATCATTTGTGGAGATGGGAGAAACTTCATGATTACTGCAACATTTCACCGATTTGGCCTTAATGTCGAACTGGCCAGACAGAAGTATCTCCTCGGTGCAAGATACATGAACGACAGCTTGGAGTGTGTTGGGATTTGAAAAAAAAAAACATCTAAGGGGCTCTGAAACTGTGAGGAACGAGATCCTCTGGTCTGATGAAACAAAGATTGTACTGTTTGGCCTCAATTCAAGCATCATGTCTTGCGGAAACCAGGCAGTGCTCACCACCTATGCTATACCACCCCAAACATGATGGTGGCATCCTGCTTTAGAGGGTGTATTTTTTAGAAGCATGTACTGGGAGACTGGTCATGGTTGAGAGAAAGTCGAACACAATGAAATGCAGTGATATCCTTATTGAAAACCTGGTCCTGACACTCAGGACCTCCGACTGGGCAGAAGGTTCACCTTCCAACAGCACACAACCAAGGCAATGCAAGAGTGGCTCAGTCAGAGTCCGTACTTGAACCAAATCGAAAATCTCTGGAGAATACAAGTGTCCACCGATGGTCCCCATCCAACCTGACAGAGCTTGAGAGCATTGACAGAGATGACTGGAGGTAACTACTGAAATCTAGGTGTGCAGAGCTTGGCACATCATGCCCAAAAAACATGAAGGTGTAATCGCTGCCAAATATGCTTTAGCCAAATAACTATGTCAATATGATATTTTATTATTTTCATATATTCACAAAGTTTTTTAAAATAATGTATTTTTTCCTTTTTATTATTGAGTAATAAGTGCAGATTGATGGGGGAAAATGGTGGTTTAAACAATTGTAGCATAAGGCTTTCTAAATACGCTGTAAAAACATGATTCTTTGTATATTAATGAATCCAACATTTTTATTCTTAATAATTTCATATGAGACTCTGCTTAAAATATATATATTTCATTCATTTGGGCTGAAATAGTTTTCACCAGCCTTTTAAGCAATTAACATTCATTGGAAGCAAATGTAGTTTCCACACATTTCAAATGGATACACTCCGGTTTCTGTCAATTTTAGGGAAGTTTTAATAAGGCTGAGGTTTTCCAGTAAACAGCTTTAGGATTTATTGACAGCTTTTGATGTAGTTTGGTAACTCATTTTAAGCAAATAATCTACAAATATATTTATAACCATTTTATATACATACATGACTGTGTGTTTTAATAATTCATAAAGACTACAAATCATTGTGAGTTTTATTGCTGTGGAGCTCTGTGATATACACATACACTGTCTAATGCGGTGTGGTTTATTACTCTAGAGCTCAGTGATCCACGCCACATTAATGAGAGCTTTCTTGCCGTGGAGCTCTGTGATACATTCATACACCACATGCCATTGCCAGTTTCACTGCTGTGGAGCCCTACCAGTGGTGAGTTTTATTGCTGTGGAGCTCTGGCATACGTTTATATTATTAAAATTTAGTAATTTAGGCTGAAAGATAGGCATCACATTCAGCTGTTCACAATCTGTATTACTACCTGTGAGCTCTGAGATACAATCACACACAATACAGTGAGTTCTGTTTCTGTGAAGCTCTGTGAAACGCTCTCATACCACTAATTATTATGAGTTTTAGCACTGTGGAGCTCTGTGATAGACTCATAAACATTACTGTGAGTTTTATTGCGGTGGAATTCTGAAACACATCCATTAATCACATATAACAGCAATTTGTTTTGCAGAGGAGTCAGAATCATATTAAATGACTCCACTGCGTATAACCTTTACAATCCAACTGCAACTGCTATAAATACCCTGATTGAACCAGGTAATGGTGGCACGTAGTTCTGTCGAATATTAGACCATTTGTCCATACTATGTCTCGGCCTTCCAAACCAGTTTAACCCCTTAAGGACCAAACTTCTGGAATAAAAGGGAATCATGACATGTCACACGTCGTGTCCTTAAGGGGTCAAACTTTATTTTCACGACTGGTCATTAAACAATGAATTTCAGTGAATTGAAAATGAAGTTGCAAAGTCTAAGATAAAATATCTAAGCTGTGTCTTTGGCTAAGTCAGAGAATGTTTCCAAATCAGCTGGTTTGTCCTGAATTTTACAATACAGTTTTAAGTTCACTAAAATTCTTTGTATAGTGAGTAAACCCTTTCCATGTTTGCGATGCCAGTCAGCCCCCCACTATGTTGAATCTCAAACATCTTTAAAGGGCAATAAAACCATCAGTTTGCGTACAAAATGATTCACTGCCCATGTGCCACATATTAAAGGGCAACTGTCATCAAAGGTTCACCTTAATTTTTTAAAGGTTTATTCCATTAAAAGAAATGTAATCATATATTTTTTAATAATCTATATGATTTCTTTGTCTGTTTGTTTTTGAAGAAAATCTTGCTTATCTGTCTTATTTATGTGGCTAAACAGCCATGTTGGGTCAGACTCTACTGTTATCTGACCAAGATATATATACATTGTAACGGAGCTCCCTGTACCCTTGGCTGGGTACCTCCGCAAGGACTTCTTCCTAGCTGGAACAGGGGACAAACCACTCCTGCCCCTAGTTGCCGAGACTTGACGGGGGTCCTGGAACCCCTCCGTCCTGGAGCCGGATGGAGGAACTCGCTCTATCCACTCCCAGGCACTGGACGACACTCTGTCCTGGGAGCTCTAGTCCTTACAGGGACTTTCCCTGTTGAATCCTCAAAATTGGAACAGTGACCAGTGATTAGTCCTTTCCCCTCCCAGTAACCAGACGACACATAGTTCTGGGAGTACTAGCTGGAATGCTTTAATCTGGCCAGATGGCCTGCTTTTATACCATTTCAGACACAGTTAAGTATGCCTCTGACACTCCCACACAAATAGGATAATCCCTCCCCCTAGACCTGAGAGGAGACTAGTTACAAACAAACATCTAACATACTTCTCCCCTGAGATAATTACCTGAGCACACAAACATATAATTTAATTATCTCTCAGTACAGAAACAGGCAATATAACAAAACAAAAACTACCACCAAAACACACAAAAAAACCCACATAAGTCCCATCCCCTGATAGCCCCGATCTGGGGGACCAACATATCCAAAAATCACAAAGATCGGTTCAGGGATGCAGGATTTCCATGGAAGT